CAGAGCGGTTCCTCAGTGGAAAAGGTTTCCTCAGGAGGTGGTGGGCTCTCCTTCTTGGGAGGTTTTTGAACTGACGGCTGGATGGCCATCTGACAGCAATGCTGATTCTGTGAGGCAGATCATGAGAGGGAAGGCAGGAAGGGTTGCATCGGTGTTTAGTTCTTGTGGCCCTTTCTTACATGCCCAGAGAAATGCTAATCGCCACCTTGGGGTCAGGAAGCAATTTTTCTCCAGGCCAATTTGCCCGGGGATCCTGGAGGGGTTTTGTCATCTTTTGGGAATATAATAGGGGTCACGGGGGGGGGAGGTATTTGCAAATCTCCTGCATTGTGCAGAGGGTTGGACTAGATGACCCTGGAGGTACCTTCCAACTCTATGATTCTATGAATTGAAGCAAAGTATAAGTGTTAACTTGACATACTAAATGATGCAAATTTACCCAACAGGATCCAACCCACAGCAAACTATACACAACAGCACAGAACGTAGTCCGCAGTAATTTAGCCAAATACAGTGCAGCTGTTATCGCTGCCACAGGAAGTGGTGGCGGCTGCAAGCATGGACGGCTTCAAAAGGGAATTAGATAAGCATATGGAGCAGAGGTCCATCAGTGGCTATTAGCCACAAGGTATAGATAGGGGCTCTGGGGCAAGTGATGCTCTGTATTCTTGGTCCTTGGGTGGGGGGCAATAGTGGGAGGGCTTCTAATGTCCTGGCCCCACTGCTGGACCGATGGTACCTGGTATTTCTGGCCACTGTGTGATAACAGAGTGTTGGACTGGATGGGCCTTTGGCCTGATCCAACATTGGCGTCTCTTATGTTCTTATCACCTGTATAGAAAAGCCCTCTCGAATAATTTGGTTTTCGCCTAATTTGCAGAAAGCCAGGAGAGGGGAAGATTCCCTGATCTTTTCAGGCAGGCCATTCCATGAGGGGGGTGGGGCGCAACAGACAAGGCACCTGTACAGGCAGCTTTTGATTTTGCCCATTTGCAAGTTGGCACCTGCGGAAGACCCTGCTCAGATGACTGAAACTGTCAAGGCAGATCATAGGGGGAGAGACGGTCTCACAGGTACGAGGGTCCAAAGCCATGAAGGGCTTTGTGACAATAGCCAATACTTTAAATTGAGCCTGGTAACTGATAGGCAGCCAGTGAAGTGGCTGTAGAATGGGAGTAATATGCACGCTCCGTCTAGCTCCATCTAGCTGCGGCATTCTGCACCAACTGGTGTTTCCGCATTGCATGCCAGTAGTCCAGTCTGTAGGTCTCTGTGGCATGGATCCAAGTGGCCAGGTTAGCCATACCAAGGGAAGGGGCTGTTTTTCTTTCAAGCTAGGCGGAGTCGGAAGAAAGCCTTTCCCGCAACTGTGTCAACTTGCTTCTCCAGTACTGGGTCTAGTATAACCCCGAGGCTCTTAACTGAGTCAGAAAAAGTCAGCTGAACCCAATCAAAAGTGGAGAGCGTAACGCCCTTCGAAAGCTCCACCTTCCAACCAGCATTAGTTCTGTCTTTCCAGGGTTTAGTACCAGTTTATTCACTCTTAGCCTTTGAACAGCAACAGCCAGGCAGTGGTTTAGGACCTCTACCTCATCAGCACGAGATCTGGATAAGGGGAGAGAGAGAGAGAGAGAGAGAGAGAGAGAGAGAGAGAGCTCGAATTTAGTTGTTAGAGTTCAGTGGCCAGACTTCCTCACACATTCGTTCTGGGATCCATTTGGATTCGCCCAATCTTAACGTCGGAGGGTGCATTGCATCGAACGAACTGAGTCTGGAGCAGAAAACACACAGTGGAATAGCCTGTTAAATTGGAAGGGGATATATCAAAGGGTAGCAGCGGGGGGGGGGCTCTCTGTTCTTCTCCGTGGCAGAAATATTCTCTCCCCCCCTCCCCGTCCTTTCCTCTTAACTCTGTAAAGCTGTTCTAACATCCCCGAGGCCCCCGCTCATGTCTTCATGTCCACTTCCGTCAATCATTATCCGAGCTGTGAATCCCTCAGAAGGTGGAGTCCTCTTGCAGTTAAAAAAAAAATGAAAAGGTGAAGGGGAAGTGTTGTAGGATTTTATACTGTCTGGGGAAGCTGCTCAGATGAGCCGCTCTGTGCAAACGAATGTTCGCTTCAGTTCAGCGGCATCGTCGCAGATCCTAACAGGGATCTCCCCACCCTCGTGCCCAGCCCACTCCTCTGTACCCTCTACTCCCTCCCTTCATCCTGTCCCTATATAAGATATGCTGTCTTATAGTGAGACATAGTTTTCATAAGCCGCTGGGGGTTGTTGCTGGTGTGTTGTGTGTCTCTGTGTGCACCTTTGTGTGTGCAGTCCGGTCGATCTCTCATCTACGATTGTGGTCATGTACCTCTCCGAAGCCGGCAATCCACTGCTGATCTACTTGGGTGTGACGCTGGTTTTTGGAGGAGTGATCCTTTATCGAGCCAAACAGAAGCGCGCGGAGAAGGAGATCTCTTTCTGCTGCGGTCTCGTCTTGCTTTTTCTTCTGGAGATCGTGTGTTTTGCCACCCTGCAGAGTTCCCTGGGTTTGCTTATCTTCTCTCTGGCATGCCTCCTTTGCTGCTTTTATCTACCTGCTCCGGCGATGCTACCTGTGGATCGAAAAGCTGTGCTTATCACAGGTAAGGACGGATGTGCTGGAAAACCCACTCGGTATGATCAAGGGCACCTGGGGAACTTTAGAAGTGTTTTCCTCTGAAGTAGAATTGTTGGTATTCAAATGGTCTGTTCTTTTGTCTTGCCTTTATTAACATGAATTTTTCTGCTCTGTCCTTTTTGGGAAAACTCAAGGAAGGGGGCAAAAAAACTAAACTTTGTAGGATGAGATATTAAATTCTCTGCGCTTCAAGAAGAAATCACAGCAGGTCGCTGCTTTCTCGTCATCGACTTACTGTGGATGTAAAGCTACTGGGTGACATTTTCGATTGGAGTCCTTATTGGGCTTTTCTCCTTGCGAATGGCATATGTCAACCGAAATTTCGGTTTCGCCTTGTTTCCCAGATGCTAAAGAAACAAAGTGAGGGCAGTGAAAAAAAACCCTCATTTATTTATGTGTAGTGCTACTCCAAAGAAAGCACCTGTCCTAATGAGGTCTAGGAAACTATTTTCAGGAATGAACAAATATAAGTGTGTACTGTACCTTTACTGTACTGTACCTTTACTGTAGAGGATTATCTTATCTGCCGGTATGGTGTCTTGCCAAAGAAAGAAGAATGCTGCTATTCTGGGGGATGGGGTGGGATAAGGAAAACTTACCACTGTGTTCTAAAGATAATGACCATTCAGAAGGAAGACTGGTAGACAATTCTTCCTCCAGGGAGATTTCTGTGAGATTTTCTGCATTAGGTAAAAGGTCGAGGTTGCAGGGTAGCTTGCTGCTTCACCTGCAAACGATTATGTTTGTATGTGCATGTATGTTTCTTTCCATTAGAAAATGTTGGCTCTGAGTCACGGGCAACTGTAAATCTGGAGGGGAGGCTTAGAGAGTCATTGAATATGGGCTGGTTGGTGTTCTCAAGAAGGTCTGTACTGAAAACAGACGGGCAATCCACGACTCTGCATCTTTAGCTTGCTCCATTTGCTGTTTCTCCACAGCTCAGTTCTGTTGGGGTTTTGTCTTACAGAGGAGGGCAGAAGCAGAGGGCAAAGAAAGTGAAGTTAAAGGGACTGGAGAGGAATACAATAAGCTTAAAAACCTTGCCTGGCCTCAGGGTTAGTCTCTGTTGCATAAGCTGAACTCTCAGCAGTTCTGCCTTTGAAACACTCTAGGCAGTTCTGCCTTTGAGAAATTACTGTAATTAAATTGTCTCTTCTCATTGTTCATACTATTCTCCCTCTCTCTCTCTTTCCGCCCCTCCCTCCCTCCCTCTGTCTCTCAATAAGTTTCTAGCACCCCTCTAAGACTTTGGTTTGCAAACAATGACTTCAAAACAAATAAAACTGCCAATGAGTGTATATCAAAGGCTCCCCGCCTGCAATAAAGGGATACAACTCCTTTTGTAATGGACAGGATACGTGCTTAACAATTGCTCCTATCAAGCATGCTGTCCTGCATGTGACCAGCCATGCAAGAGAAAGCAACATACACACCAGCCACGCAGGGACAACATACAAACATTTCTTCGGCATTATACCCATTAGCTGCCAAACAAGTCGTCAAGAGAGATTTGCGCAACTGCCAAGCCAAGCGTTAGAAAGGGTCAGATTCACTTATGTGCTGACATAAACGTGGGATCCCCTCGTTTGGGAAAATCAGAGAGTGAATTCACACTGAACTGGATCTGTTTGTCATCGCGCTACTCTGATCTTTCACGTCTTGGATTGTCCCGGACCACGTAACAGCGCAAGGAACCCATGGCCCTCAGCCTGCAAGACCTGAGCAACATTTTGGACGTCATTCATTCATAGGGTCACCCTAAGTCGAAAGCGACTTGACGGCAGTTAATGGTTGCACACATAACAGCACAGTGGTTCAACCTGCTTCTCCTTCCGGCATGCATGCAGAGAGAGGCAGGAGACAGAGCACTCTTGCGCAGGGGTCGTTTCATAGAAAAAGAGCTAGGGGAACTCATTAGCATAACTCATTAGCATATGCCACACCCCCTGACATCAGGGGCCCAGCGGTGGACCTGCAAGGCCGGCGGGAGTGCGAGGAAGCCCCGCCAAGGCCCTCCCTGGCCCCAGGCAGGCAGGGGTGGGGAGAGGCGGGGGGGGAGCAACTTACCCTCCCTCTTCTCCTGCCTCCTCCTGGCTGAATGAGGGCCGGAAGCGGGGGGCGGGGCTTCGTCGTGTGCCCCGCCCCCCGCACCTCACCCGGGGGAACTGCGATCCCCTCGAATCGACCTCTGCTCTTGCACTCTGCGCATGCACGCAGGGACCTGGGCCAGCTGCTAGACATGTGCCCCTCCATAGCCTGGGCGTGTGCAGGAAAAAAAGGAAAGCATGACCTTGTTTGTCCTGTCCTAATATGGCAGGCATAAGAATGAAAGCTTTTGAACAGTCTTAGGAAGTTACCTGACAAAGCAGGTGTGGGAACAAGTCCCAAATCTGTCTACACGTTAGGAGTCAAACATTCTGATGATTATATGTTTCCTATGTGTGTGAAATGTTTGACTGCTGAGTTTGGTGTGCACGAGCCCAGGCACGCCCTCAGCTGCCGTGCCCGAGCCAGGTGTGAGACGCAAGGGGAGAGGGGGTACCAGATTTATTTATTTATTTATTTTAAGCATTTTTACCCCGCCCTCCCCACGAGCGGGCTCAGGGTGGCTTACAAGGGGCGCAAGCCCATATATAAAACCCTGTAAAACAATAAAATCACAATTATAAGAATAATAACACTAATGACAATAATAAAGTGCTTTCAATCAAGATGGTCTTGAGTGGTTATCTTCAAACAAGCCCCATTGGGGTCTCACTGTCCAGTTGATCATTCATACCAATCCACGTTGTCAATGTCACATGTGGCTGGGCTTCCCAGGGCGATCCCGCGACCCGATGGTATTGCCACCGTTGGTGGTGGTGGCAGCGGCGGCCCCTATGTGAAAGCCTGGCGGAAGAGCTCCGTCTTGCAGGCCCTGCGGAACTGCATATGAGATGGTTGGGTGGAAAGCCCAAAGGCCCAACGGCGACTCCACAGCTGGCGAATGCCTGCTCTTCCTTCCTCTCGCCTTCCTAAAAGGGGGCGGGGGGGAAGCAAGCCAGGTGAGAAGGCCCTCAGTGACAGCATTGGGGCTCTGGGCACTGCTTGCCGCACCTGGTGCCCACCGCCCCTCTGGAGCTATAGTCAATCTCCCAGGACCGCCTAGTGGGCAGGCCCACCCCTGCATGTACAATTAGGGATGGGGGGGGTAAGGTTATCAGACTGGGGAACTCCTGAAGATTTGGGGGGTGGAGCTTAGAGAGGACAGGGACCTCAGTGGGGTACAAAGCCATACAATACAGTTGCCCACCTTCCAAATCGTCCATTTTCTCCAGGGGAACTGAATGTTAGAGATGAGCTGGTAGCCCTAGCAGCGAGTCCTTCCAATCGCTACCGCAACTGGTGGCTCGTAGTCACAAACCCAGCGGGTGAAGGTCTGAATGAAGGTGTGGAGAAGACCGCTGTAGTAGCACAATATATGACGATGCGTGGATCTTTCCAGAGACAGACCGACACAGAGCTAGAAGTCATAGATGTGAAAAATAAAGCTTGTTCAGGGCTGTTCCAAGGACTCCATCCAGTGAATAAGCAATGAAGCAAAGAGCAGTCGTTTCATGCTGGCTTAGGGTTTCCGACTCTGGGTGGGGAAATTCCTGGGGCGGGAACGAGTTCGTTAGTGATGTGATGTCCTTCTAGGACTTCAGTCTTCCTAGAATCTATGGTATTCCACAGAGGCCCCTCTCTGGGGCTGCTTTTCCCTCCAGGGGAACTGATCTCTGTTGCCTGGACATCGGTTGTGATTCCAGGAGAACTCCAGGCCCCACTTGGAAGATGGCAAGCCTATGCATAGCCTGTCTGTCCCATGGCTTCCTTCACCCACACAAGTCATTTCCCCCCCATGCTCTCTTCATGAGTTATCGAATATATAATGGCTTTCCTTCATCCAAAGGTCACATAAAAGTGTATTACAATGCCTGTTTGTCTAGGGAGGACATTTCAGATATCCATGACTCGTAAATTCCTTGATTTCTGTCCAGCAGTTGATTGTCGTTGATCTCAGGTCAACGAGGGCGCTTCTCTAAGCTCTGCCAGGCCCTGTAGACCGGAAAGTCAACTCTTAGATTGTAATTGGATAGGCTATTAAAGAAGTCCTGACCTGGACGTCCCAGGTTAGCCTGATCTCATCAGATCTCAGAAGCTAAGCAAGGTCAGCCCTGGTTAGTACTTGTAGGAGAACACCGAGGTGTTGGATATTGTAACTGCATGCAAGAGTATCTGGGAGGGAGGGAAAGGATCGAAAGAATTCTCTCACTTGGGTACACTTGGCCACTGGCCCCACCCTCTCATTGGTTAGATCAGGGGTCATTTCCTGCAGGCGCGCACAGGAGCGGAGCTCCGGCAGTAAAGAGCCCAGGGGGCGAGCACATGCAACGAGCCCCCCCCCTGATCCCAGCAGCCCTCAGTCAGAGCAAGAAGCAGCCAGTAAGTTGCAGAGCCCCCCCCCCTGGGGCCCTGGTGCAAAACAGTCCAGTGGCACCTCTAAGACCAAGTTTTATTCAGGTACAAGCTCTCCCTCCTCTGCGAGGACAGATCTGCATGTTTCCCCCCCCCCAATAGCCATTCAAAACAGTCCAGTGGAGCCTGAGCGGTGGGTGTTGCCTTCTGACACACTCCCGGTGAGGTCAGGGGGTGTGGCATATGCAAATGAGTTATGCTAATATGTTATGCTAGTGAGCTCCGGCACCTCTTTTTTTACTAAATGACCCCTGGATTAGATGTTGAGCCGTCATTGGCCGTTGCTTGTCTTCTATGTTTCATCTCATATAGGACATCTCTTCTTTCTCTTACCTGGACCTGGAGCTGTAGCAAGTTAACCTTTTTGAAGTTAATCTGTTTACAAGTTAAATGTATTTCAGTGGTCAATATTTTTTGTGTTGCAACGACACACATCCAGAAATACACACCTCGACCACTACTTTTGAT